TTATAAATAAACTGTTAGTAGATTAGTTAGAAAACTGTAGAATAAACGTAGTTCAGCAATTTCTTATCATTTAATTTTCATGACAACATCCTCTTTAAAGCACACAGTGTACTCATGTTAATATTTCATCATTGTTGGCTTAGAGAAATTTCTCCCTTTTCTCTGGAAACTACAAAAGCTCCTTCCGAGAACCGCATCGCGAGTGCATTAAGTATTTACCACTATATCCACGCAGATGCTTAATTTTCAATTTAAATTCCTGCCAATGATCCCAAATCTGAGTTATTTATGCACAGCAAATGAGGAATGAAGGAGTAATTGTCCTATTTCTCTAAACACTCCCCGACACATCCTGTATCCTTCGTGTCACTGTGCTTTAAAATCTAATACATAATGCATGCTGGGATGTTTAGGGTGGCAAGATTTCCTCCTTGGGAATTATTTGGCGCAACGTATTGTCAGCTTCCGTGTAATTTAAATGACGTGGCAGTTGGGGAAGGCAATGCTGATGGTTCGTCATGGTACGTCAAGTAAACTGTGCGATGTTCAACAAAACGGATTATATTCTGCTTTACATAAAGACTAGGAAAATTTTCTTGCAAGACCCAATGGAATGAGGCGAGCTTTCTATCCTTGTTTTTGCACACAATATCATCATCAAACTATATAGACAAGACCACTCAAGATTCAATTTTCTGGGTAATAACGCTGCAGTGTTGCTTTAATACAACGTACAAGAGTGTAAGGGGAAAAAAAAGGGCACAAGAAGATCACCAAACTTCTCTCAGCGAAGGAATCTCAATAGTCATTTAATTACCATTGTGCGAAACTATTTGCACTCTGTTGCAAGATTCAAAAATACCCCGTGCTTCGCCGTGTGGAATTAATAGAGGAATTAATAGTTTGAATTGAGTTTGTGAAATTGCACAAGGCAATACGTTACTTGGCTATAAATTCCCCCAAAGAATCCATCCCTCAGCTCTATGGGTGAGAAGGTGGAGAAGGAAGATAAATTAAATGTGGGGTGATTTAATTTAGAAGCCGTATTCTCCGTCAAATAAGGCTACACCGGGAGAATCTAATAAATATTTCCTTCAGGTCACCACGGAAAACAGTGAATTCAGCGATGCGGAAGAAAAAGTTTGCCTCTCTCGCTTCCACAGACACAGGAGTGGGTGATTGCACTGCAAACTCTTCAATTGATTCTCAAGACTTCTCCATGGAAAACGTGGAAAACAGAGTGAATCGTCTGAAGAAGAAACACTGAAATAATTGCTAATGAAGTTCGATGGTTAAAATTTGATTTTTAGTCAATTTAGTCTCTTGACAGCTGTCAAATATTCCATAAAACTCTCAATGAGAGCCTGAAATTTAAATGTTTCCGCCAAATGTGCGGAATAAAATTGATTTTCTGATCCTTTTCGACAAGATTGCCTGGAAAGTATCGATAAATTAAATTGCTTCTTTGTCCGATTACTCCTCGTGCAGTGCAACTGCTCAAGTCTGTGCTCCGCCGAGGAGAAGACGGTCCAAGAGGGCACCCCTTTAATCACGGGTGGCTCACAAGGGGGAGAAGATGGAGAGCAACAGTTAACCACATTCATTCATCTCGTCGTTCATCCCCATTCATCCTGGGTGCAACTTCCTGTGTTCATTTTCCTTTCATTCAGCCATCCAGTGCTATTGATTGTGAGGCAATGGCAGGGAAAAAGCGCTGAGATGGGTGGAATCAAAGAGCAATAATGGCTCAGGAAATTTAGGAGGAACGACAGCAAAGTTTGACATTTTGCAACCGATAAAAGCAACTCCACTTTCCCAAGTAAGATAAACTACATGGCAATTTATCTAAGGCGCTCAAAAAGAATTCATAGAGAGAGAGAGAAAGCGGAAAAACTGTCCATAACTCCCTCTTGCGGTCAATCAATAGCCTTTTTCTATGGCAAGGGAAGCTCACAACTCGGTTAATAATCTGGATTTTCAACATGGAAAATTAAGAGGGATGAAAGTAATTATCACAAACTCTGCAATGTACTGATGATTATCCATTTGCATAATTTTTCCCGAACAGCTACAAGAAGATGTACTTTTGGGCAAATTCTCAAAGTTGTTGAGTCCCAATTGAAGGCGCACAACACACTGTGATTTGAGAAGTTTACAAGTCTGAGCTAAGAAATTATGGAAATTTCATTCATCACAGCTTGAAAATAGACAATTTGGCAGTGGGAAATGGAAATTAAAATATTTGCCCAATGAATTTTTGATAAGGAAAGTCAATAAAAGTCTCCGTTTGGGTGTGAGAATTTTTAATCCTTTGAGCACAGCATAATCAGATCACCGGAGTTATTGGCCAATTATGCAGTTATTATACCCTTCGAGAGCCCGCGGGGCTCTCAAATGCCATTCGACGAAGCGCCATTAGGGCGAGGATTTTCAGTTGCAGGCGTGAAAAGAGCGCAGGACATTAACGTGTAGATGGAATAAATCTCTGGCTTAAGCCTCTGTGCTTATTTCCCCTCATTGTGGACTTTTTTACTTGGGAAATTTGAGAGACTTTCAGTACAACTCGTTCATTTTACAGCATTTGCTATGGCAGAGTGATAAAATATACACGACGCTATTTGTATGCATGAGCTTCTATATGGAGCATGAGATAAAGTTGGAGGCAATGTAAGGCTCTATTAATTTGTATCTGCATCATCATCCGTGGCAAAGTGCGCTTCAGCAGCACTTCGCAACTCCATCATTTCCCCATTCCGGCCGCTCGCGCCCATTTATTTGTTCTTGCGACTCGAAGAGGGTGAAACACTGTGAAATGTGGGTCTATCAAAATTAGCATAAATTTATCGCCCGTAAGTAAGTTTTGAGGGGGATTCTGCGTGGGCGCTCGAAGCCATCAACATATGACCGGAGTCTTGTAATTTGGTTACAGAATACACAACACAGGAACACACTTTGCCCCCAGAATATTGCGTATATATGTGCCCAAGGAGAACACACATGAATGGAAAACAGAGCAGCTGCAAGTGACATTAATAAGGAAAACCGTCTTCATTCACTTCTTGTGTACGCTTCTCTCTTGGGCGTCACCAATAAATATCAGTGGCCGTGTCTCCACCTCATCGCCAACCCCTGACAACTGTCTTCTGTACACGCACCGGAACATTGGGCCATTCAACCCAATCATTGTTCACTGGGCAACATCTCGCCGATACTAGAGATGGCTAACATTGTTTCCTCGTCGAATAACCTCTGAATCCTCGTGAAATGAGAGACTTTCGCAATATTGCCCGTGACAAAAGCGCCGATGATGATCGCTGAAAGCTCTAAAGCTCTCTACAGCATCCCTAAAATATGTATTCACTTTCATTGGAAACAAATTTCAACTCTCATTGCATTATCTCTAATGGGTGTGATTATTAGTTGACGACTTTGGCAGAGTTGTAAATCAAAGCTCAAATTCCATTCGTGCTGATGATTAATGATCTGATTTAAAGTGCTAATCAATTAAACAGGGAGCATTCCTTTGATTTTGCATGCTGCGCAGCACTTGGCATGCCTCCCGTGGTGGTGCCTTTGTCAGCTGGATCAGTGATGGAGACAAATGGTGAATTTATGCAGAGGAAGTGGAATCGCTCAAGGAAGCCGGCAATAAGGAAGACAAGTGGAGAGACTATCTGTATCTCAAATGAGCCACTATTCGTATGTTAATTAGGGTGATGGGCGGGGGGAAAAAAAGGAGGACAGAAACTTATCCACAATTCCCTGGGACAGTCTTGGCAGGAAGTGCTGCTGAGGTGACTGGGATGTAATTTAAGCAGAAGAGCATAATGAGCTCTGTATTCATAATATGACACCATCCTCTCGTGCATCTTGAGTCATAGCCGTCTAATGCTGGGGAAAATGCCATGCTTCACCCCATTCTTCGGAGGTGGAGTATTTAATTTATGATAAACTACACATCTCTCCGTCTCACAAGAGACTCCACTTGTCGTGGAGTGCTCAACAAGCGTCTTTGGGTGAGGATGGATGATAATAGCGCTTGTTATGTGAGGCAACTTCCCGTGGAATTGATGAGCAAAATGGCAATTTACTGAACGTATGCATTGAGATTATTTAGCAAATATTGAATTAGTTCCTAACATGCAAACACCACACAGTGCAGTCCTTGGGGAGGATGAGTATCAATCAATATTTACACGGTTCGTCGTCACCCAGAATTGGAACACTTTCCGCGAGTCCACAATTTCCTCAAGGTGCTTATCTTCCAACCGACTTCATTCACAATTGATGGTGGCACAGGAAGAAAATGATGTCAAGGATAGAAAATCGATAGAGCCAATCAAACTGGAGGCCAAACCGACGTCTTTGGCCACAATAACACTACCAACTCCTTAGACAACCTGAAATATTGGACATGACATTATTATTGTGAGCTCCAGAAAACCTCTGTTGATACGAAGTCATGCAAATTCTATGGCAAATATTCCTAGAAGTCCCTAATTGAAAGAGAAACGTACTTCTCAGTGGGATTTCCAATTAGACTCCAAGCCTTTGAAGCAAATACACATCACTGAATCCAATACATGTGACTAAGGAAATATGGCGAAATGCAAAGATATCAGCAGTTGTTCATATAAAAACTATATATTTACAAAACAACTGTAGCAATATTTCTTCGTCAATTTTATGAGGTGATACACTTCGGCATTTCTTCTGTTTTATACTCAAGATTAACCCTTTCCCCGTTCTCAATGCGTAGTGCTCAAATTCCCGGGGAAACTGCATGAGACTCGCGTCCGCCGAGGGTTAAGATGTTTGAAGGGAGCGATCGCATAAATTAAGTGTTGTTTAATTTCTCAATAAGTCGGAATTTATTGGATGTGCACGTGTGAGCGAGAGCGGGTGGAGCGAAAGAGTGTGTCACATTCGTAAGATCTTTGCATACCTGCTGATGTGCAAGCTGTCGACGCCACCTTTTTCCCGGCTTATTTATTCGGGAGCAAGTGTTCGGAAAAGGTGTTCCGCGCCGCGTTTCTCTCTGTCATGTGAAATATGGGGACAAATTACGTCTCATACCAGCGCAGGGAGTTCGAAACTGAGGAGACTGTCGTGCTCTTGGAGATCGGGAAGCGTCCCGCACTGCCGTCGCTGCCACCCTCTTACCAGTACTTCCTGGCCGGGCCGCCGGCTTGTCTGCCGCCGCCCTACATCTATCCAGCGCCCGCGAGCAGCCTCCTGGCGCCGGACAAGCTGCCCGAGGCCAGCCTGCCCAGCGATTGGAAGGAGAGAGCACAGCAAGTGGAGAGAGGTTAGTAGTCACACGCACAATCCAGCCTCTTCCCTGCAGCTTCCCTTCCTCCCAAGCAGAGTACAAGAAGTCAGCCTGTGACCGCGAGCGCACGAGGATGAGAGACATGAACAACGCCTACGATCTGCTGCGCAGCAAGCTGCCCGTGCCCAAGCCCTCGGGTAAGAAGTACTCCAAGATCGAGTGTCTCAAGTGAGTCCGCACGTTGCGCGCTGATCCGCAGCACATGCTCTATAGTCCCGCACTCCGCAGGCTCGCCATCAGCTACATCCAGTATCTGCAGAGCGTGCTGGAGATGCCCGAGAGCCCGCCATTCTCGCCACCCGTGCACCCCGCCGGCGCCCAGAGCTACTACCCGCTGACGCCCCAGGCGCCCGAGCTGCTCGCCCCGGCGCCCGTCCTGCTGCCGCCCACAAATCCCACCGAGGTGCCCAGTGTGTGGCAAGTCAGCCCCGGCGGCATGAATTTGTATTATCACCCATAATTGGCGCTAATTAGTGAATTTTGGCATTGCTCAGCGGTGTGACACAAGTGTGGCAGTGAAACCAGAATATATGTGGATGAAATATAATAATATGCAATTTTACCATGGAGGAGTAGTGTTTATAAATTATGACTGACTAATTTTACTCAATTGTGCAAAATCCCATGAAATTTTTTGCCTTTGCAAATCGCACGCAAATACACTAATTAGAGAATGCCAATTAATGTGTGAATGTTAGTTCGCAATTAGCCAGAAAATGCATTGATAAGCTTGATTTGATATATAATATAATTTAATGCGAGCTGTGCTGCGGTCAAATGTGGTTTGGACAAACGTTCCTCGCGAATTTATATGCTTTACCGCACTTGAAATCTGAATGCTTCAGATAATAACACAGAGCATATTCTAATAATTTTATAAATCCATTCAGTAGTTCATCGCATCAATTAACCCCCTTTTATACCTTGGTAAGCAATTTGATGGGCAAAAGCCTCAAATAAAACTTCCCACATTTGCCATCTATGCGCTAGTGTTGTCATAGCAAAAGCTCTGCCGCAAAAGCTCAAATCCAATTGAACTTTGCTGGGTCTTTCGCGTGAAACTGTGCAAAGGTTGATGAAAGTGGGACGTCGGCAAGGGTGTGTGTGTGTGTGTTTGCCTTCCGGTTGAGGAGTGTACGGAATGAAATTTGCGCCAACAGCCCCAAATTTTGCCACACACACACACGCACACAAACAGCCCGCGGGGCGGTGAGGCCAGAATGTCACAAATTCTGTGATATTTCACCATTAGCCACCCACATGCAGGTGGTTTCTGTCTCCCCACTTTTGTGTATTTTATAAGTTAGGTCGATATTTGGAGTTCGTGCGCGAAATCAATTATTTTGGCCACCCCCACCCCCTCCGCTTCCCGCGACACACACACATTCTGTTGAATTTTTAGCAGTCAGCAGAGGGTTTATTTATGAGTCTCATGTGCACTTTATTTAATGTGCAATATTTCAAGCTATCCAAACTATTTTAATACACATTCAAATGGTCGGATGGGGAAGGGGCGAAGCGGGGCGTGAGGAGGGGAAATATAGTTGGATTTGTGGAAGAAATATTATTAGTTGTTGCCAGTGAGATAAACATCCAAAATAGATAATGATGACTGTGTAATTTCTTTTCCATGTCTCACTCCATCTTGATTTATGGTCCCACTCGCGATATTGATATGAGAATGATTTATTGGAAAGGGTGCTTATTTGATTTTTCAACTAAAAATACAATTGACAAGCACTGTCAGAGATTCCTTGATCGATTCAGCTCAGCTTAGTCCTTGGAATTACTGAGAAATTTGCCATCAAATTTGTGTCGCACTCAGCAAAAATGATACTTATGAAGTAGTGATTTTTGACATTTCACACTCTTCCAATGCGCCTTCGGGAGATTAATTGAAAAGGTGGAAAGAGAGAGAGAGAGAAGAATTTGTAAGTTGTAGATTGATTGAGATGGAATTTGGCAGGCACAGTTCACGGGTGAGAAATGACTTTGTGATTCATCTGCCAATATATATAGTGTTTTTGGCACCACTGTGAGCCACTCTCAAATGAAGATTCTCCAATTTATCACACGATTGACCACCTTATCTCGCGTGGTCTTCTCTATCTCGCGCCTTTCCCGGGAAAAGTTTCAAGTGGGAACAAAGTGAGGAATTCTGTTTCCCTTTTTCCCATCTCCGCCACTCCATTAATGGTTCTCTAATTGATATTGATCATCGAGCATCTGTCGAAGTGAACTCGAGAGAGAGAGTACAATCGCGGTACAATGAGTTGAAGTAATTAAATGAGGTACTTTCCAGGTCGGTATCTGACTCCGGGATCTCGCCTTCACTCCCGCGGACTCTGCCGACGACATGGACAAATTCCGCCCTCGGCGCCCCGCTCAAATAATATTTTCCCGTAATTCAATTTCACAGTGAGACAACCTGCATCGCGGAGGGACGAGTTGAAGAATCGGCGAGAATGGGAGATAAGCGAAGAGTTTAATATTTGTGTGGGTTACATTCAAATACATTTTTTCCCTCCCATTCACATCGATTCAGAAACAGACTCACGTGCGACACAGAGGAGCACATCTTCACTCATCCCCAGAGTCTCACGATGCTCCAGCACTTTGGGCACAGCTCTGTACTTTCAACAAACCCAGCGAGATTCATCTCCGTGTCTCATTCACTTTTGCTGGATATTTCATTTGAGGTTTTATCAAAAGTGTATCTCCAATTTCAATTATCTAAATCTCCTTCTGCTAATTCCATTAATCATGTGTATTATTCTCCTCTTGTGCAGCACAAGGGGAAGATAATATGGTCAGAAGTGGTGTACAGCTCATCAGAAGTACTTGAGAAGTGGAAGTGTTCCAGAAACTTGCCATATTTCTTCCCTGAGTGTTTATTTTACTAACAAATTATCCCGATTCTTTGGAGTTCCTACGATATTTATGCAAAATCAAGCATAAAAATTTTCTTTTTAGATTATGTTTAGGTTAAGATTGCTAATCATTAGTACTTTTAGTACTTTTGATGCCAAGAAACACTGTAAATTGTGCTAAAATTAAAGATAACCTGAAAAAGAGTCATTTCGACTTGGAAAATGTTCATTTAGAAAACTTTCTGGACAATTTTACCTCTGAATCAGCAGTTTTCAGATCATTTTGTGATCTAGAAAGCTTCTAAACAGTGATACTGAAGATTTCTTTGTTCGATTTTGAGGTTATGGTCGAAAAGATGTCCAAAAATACGATTCTAAATCGATTCTTGCAGAAATATCGGATGGATATTTAAGAGAGTTTAAAAACTTCGAGTTCCTGAAGTGTCAGGCAATTTTGGAAGTGTTTGGGAAGTGGTGTACAAATTTCAGTCATATTAGCTTCCCCTTGGTGAAGCATCACAATACGACTTATTAGTTGCTACAACTCCACAATTGTATTCCCTTGTGCGCCATCCGGGAAGAGATATTGAGGATGAAAATGGAATTTATGCACTCCCACTGAAGAAAAAAACCCCTTGCAATTCTTGTGCATTAGTCGTTTTAATGATTTTTCACTGGTCACATCCTTATTAATTCCTGGTTCATTGAATTACATTCCCCGCATCTTCCCACAAAGTGCGCATTCTGTGCGCGGCTCCTTTATCGATGATATCAGCTCCAGATGATGCACAAACCGATGCTCAGTGTGGAGAAAAGCGCACCACTTTAAATCTTCAGCATCTTGTGCTCTCTTGTGGGCTAATTTGCAATATCTCATGCCATGGCGTACAATATCAATGGCAGCTCGAGTGTATTCAGTGGGAATTTATATCCAATTGCCAATAGACACAATTAAGCCACGAGAATCCATTCAGGAAATTTTATGACAGTATTCGCATTCCTCTATGCAATGCTTCTCCAGCCAAGTATGAAGGATTTCTCAAAACTCCTCAAGTTTCCCTCACGTTTAACTTATAGTTTGTGAAGACTTTTCACCATAGCGTTAAACAATTTATGTTGAATGAAAACTTAAACTCTACTCTATTCATATAATTACACGATGAAGCAATTGAAATTTTGAGAGTAAAGAAATTCAACAGCTTCAAGAAGTTCACATGCGTCTACTTCTCCCTGTGTTTACTACTTTTTCTAAACTATTCATGAATGAAGGAGATCAAACGATATAAACTAAATTCAGAACTGTTCATTTTCACAATTCACTTAATCTGTTAAACCATCTTAAATCATTCTCTGCATTCACTAAAAAGCTCACGTGTAAAGTGTATTCCATAAATGTGATTCGTGTGAGTTATCAGTGAATGTTTATTGAAATCATCAAACAAAACATTCTTCACATAATTCTCTTCTGCACTAGAATTAATTCTGAGAACTTTCATCAATCTTGGCCAAGATCTTGGCCTTTATTTCACTCTCGTAAGCACAGCTTTATTATGGCTTTGATGCACATTCATGAGATGTGCAATGAATTATTTTCTCGGTTATTCGGTTTCTGAAGTATTTCATACCTAAAGGATTAGAGAAATTCTCTTATAATTAAACCCTCTTCGACGTCATTTCCAAAGTGTTCAACTCATTCCAGCTGAAATGCAATGAGAAACTTCCTTGGCCCTCAATATTGCATTTTCCTCTTGTTACTTTTGCCAATGCTTTCTAATTAAATAACCCAACATTGTCCCAGACATGGTCGAGAAATTACAAACTCGTGATAACATTTATTCTATTGCCATCCCTGTTGGATGTCAAAGGAGAAGCATTGTTCACCATAAGACAATAGCACTGGACTGTGTGGAGATACATCAAACGATTTGCCATTGCTGAGACCGTATAGTAAATTGAAAAGTTAATAAGACATGGTATTAATAGGTCGTCACAGTGCTTATCTGTGTGTACTTTGGGGGGATTACGGAGGGTTCGCCGAGAGAGAGAGAACAATGGTTGCCAAGGTGTGGAGCTCTTGAGGGTTGCTGAAAGACCGCAAATCCATTCCGAGAGATGACTCTCAATGGGACGACACAGGTGATGTCATGCTAAGTCCCATTGAATAATTGCACTACCGCTGACCATTGATTCTAATCGCCCAAGCGCACAATTAGTCAGAGTGCCCAATTCTGTCTCTGCTGCCAAATGTCCGTCAAATGTTGATGTTTTATGTGGCATTGCTTTGGCACATGTGAAAAAAAAGTTGCTGCGATGCTACGCCAAGGGGCACATAATCAATTTTATCGATCTCTCCTTCTGCTCATTGGATATTTATATGGAGAATCACACACTCATTTCCCCAATACATAGTCACTCAGCCACTCGTCCACTTAGCTGATGGAGCTTTTCAAGCCTTCACTGCTTCGGCAATCGAGCAGAAATGAAGACTTTTCGCAGCGCTTCCCGAATTGTGCTCCAGCAGAATCTGCGGCAGCACAGCCGTCTTCGGCTCACCATAGACATTTCCACTCTTTTCCACGATAAAACAAATGAGAGCCTTATTATTGTTCTGGCAATTTTCCTCGTCAGAGGGTGAATCCTTTGATAAGATGAAAGGAAGAATTGGGAGAAGGCAAGAGAAATGGGAGATAAT